GCCGCGCAGATTGAAGGCCTGTATTCAAAATCACGGAAGTCATTTTGAATAAACTTTAGTGTCATAAGAATCTATGTTTGGTTAAGTTCATTTTGGTATATAAATGGTTACCTAATGAATAAACTTGTTTCAATTATTTTACATTAAACATGTGACAGAATTTATGACCTGACTAGGTATATACGGTTAATGAAAATGAATCACACAGATAAAACATAATAGTAACTATTTTGTCTTAAAAATTAAAAAAATTCAACCATTTAATTTTATACTCGGTTTTAATGTACCGACTCTCTAAACAGTAGGTATCTATTGAATATTTTCTAAGACAAGAGTTTTTGATACAAAAACTATAACAGATCCGACGTGATGTCCGAAATATTATGATATCTGAAATAATGAAATCATATCCATAGTTGTATATTTTTTACATTCATCTTAGTATTATAAGTAATTATAACACAAGATAGTCTAAGAAGCTAAATTATTTGGTATACAGCGTCTGTGTGGAACCTCTTGAGAAAGATATAAATGTAAAATAATCACCTTTTTTTTCCTACCTATGCTGATAGCCTTGAGGGGCTATTTCAGCTTACCCTAGCTTGTGTAGGTGAGCTCACGGGGCTCAAACCGGAGAATTGCTAACACTGACCCTAGCAAGAGCAGTGCTTCGCAGAATCTACCACCGGGTCGGAAACGCGACCCACTGAGAAGATCCAGCGAGAAACTCAGTGGGTGTGTCTGTGGGTTAATCACCATTTTTATCTCTTTAAATTTTACATTTGTTTTTAAGATATGTATTTATTTACACAGATTATTTTGTGAACATTGGATGTTATCGATAACGATGTGCGCTCATTTTCAAATCTTGGTTTGAAACTAAACAAACTTTACCTTTATAAATCTTATGCTACATCAAGACTTATTTAGTACAGCCATGTATCGGAAATCAAATTAACACATCTAGTAATTCTTATTTCAATGTTGTTACTAATTAACAAAAAACCGACACAAACAAGTAATAATAAACTAATGATTTTTTTTTAAATTCAGTGGCTTAGGTACTGTATGGGAATGTTTGAAAAATACTAGCTGCGGAAAAGGAATTCTGCAGTTTAGCTTCCCGTCGGAATGAGATATTTTTTCGGGATAAAAAGCCTATATCAATGTCATATTCCTTCTCATGTTGCTCTAAGTTTTGGCAAAAAATTTTATGACCGGCCGCCTGCCTGACGTCAACCCTCCTTGGGAATGCTTTTGTTGACCTTGGGCCGAGGTTTTATTGGCTTTGGTCTGGCTTTGGCTCTTAATCGACTTCTACGACACCCATGAGCTAAGTTTGGGTTGGGGGTATTCTTAGGCGCCCACCACACGCTACGAAGCTGAGGAGTGCGCGTTTGGGATGGTATGGACATGTGATGAGACGAAATGAAAATGTGGTTGATAAGAGAGTGTTAACTATGAATGTGGAAGTATATAGAGGAAGAGGTAGACCTAAGAAGAAATGGATAGATTGTGTGAAAGACGATATGGGTAAGAGGGGAGTGAGCGAAGAAATGGTATATGATAGAAGAGTATGGAAGGAGAAAACATGTTGCGCCGACCCCAGGTGACTGGGAGAAGGGCAGGATAATAATGAATGATGATGATCAATGTCATAACCTAATCTCTGATCAAGCCTCGTGTCATTTTCCGGAGATACTCCCTCCAATATGACATTTCGGGCGGTGCTACAATTGCCAACTTTAGGGTCATTCAGAAAATCAGAAATCGCAACACAAGCCTACGCACTGGCCGCAAAATAGAGACACGACCAGCACTAGCAGACAGCCCCCGAGCTGTGTGCTTTGTTTTACAAAAGAGCACTAATTATGGCGGATGCCATAAGGCCCCGCAAAAGAACCACCGTATTCACGTTTCACTTCTCGTTACCAGTCCCAAGTTCTCGACACCAAAGCTGATGTCTCGGAATGAGCAAAACGATGAAGATCTACACCTGGAGCCAATACGTATTGATCTGAATACAGCGCCAGAATGCTTCTTCGAGACAGCGGCGTAGCATGCTAAGTCTCTTATCGTGGCTGCCGCAAGTTACATCCCCGACCTAGAAGACGAGACAACGAATAGCTGCCATTACCCTGAGGATGACATACCGGATTCTCCCGATTCATTATCGGCGCTATTAGGCATTCCAAGCACCGGTCACTGTTCCCGCTTTCATAGCATGCTTAAAGAGGCGATAGTTTAATTTTATTAGAATTCTTAAACGGTCTAGCCAGAGAACCAAAAAAATCAATGACAACAAAATTGTCTCGGGCATTCCTAGACAAACCAGCAAAGAAAAAACTTGACACAGCTATAAAAAACAGTACGCACGATTTCCTGTGATCAGCCCCCTGTCACTTTACATCAGAGTGTAACACCAGACCATTTCCTAACAATTAATTTAAACCTTTTTTTTTAATTAACGCCATCTAGCGTTTTTACGTGGCGCAGCGTGGAGAATCCGATAATGTTTGAGCCGTGCTTTGCAGAATCTACCACCGGATCGGAAACGCGACCCACTGAGAAGATCCGGCGAGAAACTCAGTGGGCTGTGTCTGAGGGTTAATTTACTCGTTGAGCCCTTCGTTGCAAGCGACGGGTTCGGCAAGAACGGTGACCGGTGCTTGAAGTACCTAAAAGCACCGTTAGTGGATCGGGAGGATCCGAAATGACGTGTTTGGGGCTACGTCGACTGCTTTCCATTCTTTCCGCAGGATCGGGAATGATCTTAATGAGCAATCGTGCAGTTAATCAATGCAATCTAGTGAAGTACCTACAATCAACAATCGTGTATGTTGAGACTAAGGCAACTAAGCAATTTGTTATTTGTGAACGGGAACCGCATTAGGCCGGCAATATTGGCTAATGCCGTTGTAAGGGTCTTGCTCAGATGCTAACGTGTGCTAGAAAAAATCGAGATGACGATATGTGAAATTAATTATTTACTTATACTTCAGTGTGCTTAGTGCAAGTTTTTTAACGTTCTCGATAGCGTAAAAGTTAACTCAAATTTCGTTAACAAACTCGCACTAAGCACATAGTTTAGAAGTCTTCATAACGCACTTCGTTGCAGTCAAACATACATAGTAGCGGGCTTATCTTATTGTAGGTATTCGTACATTGTTCGTCTACACTAGACTTTATTAATCTATATTTTTACGAGTGTAGTGAGTTAATACCATCGTGTCTGTTTCGCAAAGAAATTAGTTAGACGTTCCGGTTTCGAAAGAGGGACACTATAGTAGAACTATTTTGTCCGTGCAGTTTGACTCATAAAACATAGGCCGGCTAGGGCGATGAGCATGTTGCGCGGGCGCAACGCCATTATCGATAAAAACAAATGAGTCATCAAGGCAGGTACACGGTGGCGGTGTGGTATACGTATTGCTTAGATGGGTGGATGAGCTCACACCCTACCTGGTGTTGTGGTTGCTGGAGCACATAGACATCCACAACGTAAATGCGCCACCCACCTTGAGATATAAGTTATAAGGTCTCAGTATGGTGACAACGGCTGCCCCACCCTTCAAACCGCAACGCATTACTGCATCACGGCAGAAATAAACAGGGTTATGGTACCTACCCGTGCGGAGACCGTTTTTTGTGCCCGAGTGTTGCCCTGTAGGAGCCGCGGAGACGAGCAATAATTCACTAAGGCTGGCTGGAAATTCGCAAGCTTCTCCGTCAATGCGTACAGTTCCTTCTACACATCTACAGCAATGCCGCTGCGGCAAGAACTTGTTATTATACCGTACTGAACCACTAAAGAGTGACTAAGACTTTTTAGGGGCGAGTTTTCGTTTGGAGCTTTGCTTAGGTGCTAAACCGTAGTAAAGCTAATATAGTAATAAAATCAATGTAGTATAGTAAGAATATTAAATATTTTTTTGAGTTCATTGTAGTCTGATTGTAATATTTTTTTTATAATAATAATTTATGTAATCATATGTTTTTACTTTTTCGCGTAATTGTCTATGGCATACAGATAGATATCCGTAATTTTAGAAAAGTTGTTATTGAAGCATTGTTTCTAATTCTCACAGAATTTCCTTTTCATTTACTTCACATTTACTACATATGGAATTCGCTGGATATTGGCTGCGCAAAACTAGTCATTGTGACGAATGTTGGACAAGGACTATGTCTAGCAGTGAACTTCTGTGGATTAAGGATATTGTGATGAATAAGCTTCATTAAGTCACACTCGACGTACCTACTAATCATACTTACTGCTCAGCTAATTATCGCATTTTTTTAAAATTAAATACGTTTATTAATATTAATTGTTATCGATATTAGTAGTATAATATTAAATACGTTAATTGTTAAATAATTTTTACAATATAATTACATTACATTACATATAATTACAATAAAATATACTGAACAGGTAATTCAAGAGTAGCAAGCTCTAGTTTAAGACTAAAATACACCTGTTGAAAAGTTTTAAGAGAGTTGAGTTAAATTTTTTGGATCGTCCAAAGCCTTCTTCGTATTTTTTTAAACATGTCAATTTGTCTTTTCTGATGCCAATATTACATAGGAATGAGATGCAATGAAATAAAATGCAACAATGTCTTAATAAAATGATAAGAACTTACTGAGACCTCAATGAACTTTTTAAAAAAACCATCTTCACATACTCGTATACTCGCACAAATGTAAATTTGAATTGTTAAATTTCTAAGTCACTACTATTACATTAATTACATTAAACTTGAATAAATAATAAATTAACAGAGTGAAACAATTAACATAATGTGATGTCTCGCGTTCCCGCTAAAAATATTAATAGTCGATTAAGTGAACATTAAATACTTAGTAGAACAGCACTATGACATATGACAGTTGCCGTCATTTTGACATTGTGCTATTTTTGACATTTAAAGTTCTTTCAACTAAATCACAAAAAATCACAATCCAGAATTTGATTGAAAGTGTCGAGACTGACAATATGACGAAACTTAAAATGTGTCGCATCGAAATACGATCTCAGTGTTTTCTTAGAAATTATGCAAATTAATTAAATATTTTATGTTCGTTTTGGTGGTTTCTTAGAAACCTGAACAATGTCTCAAGAGACGGAACTTTTGATATCAGTGCCGCGTACGTGTATAAAAGAATTTCGAAGTAAATATCTAAATCTAGTTGAAACTTTTTACTATGTTACATTAACCGAGATTAAATCTAGTTTCGCAAATGAGGAAACGGAATTTGTTTACTTCAACGTAACATTTAACTTGAACTCAACAGATGGGAACAATAACCCACGTGAATTAATAGGACGTATACAGGTAAGTGAATAATTAATTGGTTGCGAAATAAGTACGTGAAATTGGAAGAGAAACAAAGAGAAATCGGCCTTGCATAATGTAATGCCGTTGTCGTCACATTTCAGCTGTGATCTGCATTGTATTCTAATGCATCCTCTTGATATGACTAGATTTTTATTCACGTATTTCCTAGTTTTAGAAAAGTTAAGCTATAAATATCGTAAAGTATATTATATAGGACATATGTCAAATTGTTATTTCAATAAAATGAATAAATGCTATAATGTATACAAATTTAAAAAAAATTAAATTAATTTTTCATGTAGAAAATGTCATTAGTAACATTTGGTGTCAATTTAAAAGATGCCTTGGAGTGATTGATTTTGTTGACATTATTAATCTTTTAATAAGTCAAAAGTAAATATGGAGATTTAGTTGTAAAAATTGGTAAAATTTTAGCTATTAATAGTTTCTTCAAAGTTTAATTGTGAACAAGTTTAATTGTGCACAAATAAATTTGAAATCCTTGAAAAGAAAAATGTTGTACTTAAAATAATAATAATTATCAAATTAGTAGGCTGTAAAGTTCATATGTATGTAAATGTGTATGTCAATTGATGGATTATTGTTATCTGATAAATAAATGAATTGATTGATTGATATTTAAAATTTGTCTGAAAATGGGATATAAAATAAAATGAATAGTAAGATTTATTATTCTTAAAGATTTAATAATTAAAGCAACAAAGCCATAACCATACCCACTGTTACTTTTTAAATTTATACCGATAACCCTTATCATAGACTTTTTGCATTGATTTTAAATTAATTATTTTTGTATGGAATCATTCAAACTTAATAGTTTGAGTACTACAGTGTTATAGTATAATAGATAGTTAAATTGGTAAACTTTTGGTAATAGCATTCATGTTATGAGCTCTGTAGGATCTGATAATAACTTAAGTGTGAGTTCATTCACATTAATGCCCTATGATATTTTAAATTGTCAGATTCTGAGTATACACTCTGAGTATACACACACATATTAGACAACAGATACCTGTTGTCTAATATGAATGTGTTTTTGGTACCAAAAAAAAAAAATTCAACAAAATATCTACTAGTAATGGTATTTAAAAAATCTGTAAAGTAGTCTCGGGGATTATCACAGGCAGACAACAGATAGACACCATTGAGATTTTTGTAACAAGTGACCCAATAAAATGTTTGAACTTAAAAATTCTTATATTTTCAAATCTCAGAACGAAACTTCTAATTAATTGTTTTTTTGGTAATAATAATATAATAGACAACACCACCTTTTTTGTCCAGTGTTAGATAAATAATTAAGCATTATTCCATTTAAATACGCTTCTGCAATTGATCTGTGTTATAATTTGTGTACACTCACTTGGTACATTCAATAATAATGAATAGAATGTACGATTTATTCCATTACTATAATTTGCATTACTTGTATACCTTGAATAGTCTAGGTAGTTGAGTTGAACAACAAAAAAATATATTCACAAAGTATTACTGTTATGATTCAATAACAACTTTTTAAATTTGTGCATGTAAATATTTTCAACTTTGACATAAGTGACTGTAGGACTTGACTATTTATCAATTTTAGTGTCTATTTCAAAGACAAATGTTACCCTGATTATGTTTTTTTTTTAAACAAGTATTTTAATATGAATAAAACATTAATTGCTTTTTACACAGGATACTTTGTAAGAAAAAACAAGAGTAAGTAAGAATACTGCTGTAGGCAATTAGAATTCATAACATAAAGAAAAGTTAAGTAAAACGATCCTCACTTAATTCCCCTTAAATATTTCTTCTGTGATGGACGCACCTTGACCATTTAGATCACAGATATTACAGTGGACAGGGTCACTAACCATAAGGCCAACTGCTAAACAGTTGGGAATACAAAAGCAAATTAATGATGATATGATATGATTTAAGATATTCTTATGCCTCTAGTGCGTGGATATAATATTATGTATATGACTAGAGATGCGACAAAATGAACGATATTCGTCGCAGTGGCAGAGGTCAGCGGTGTGCGGTTTGTTTGGGGGCCGCCCGCCGGGTGCAGTGGGCGCACAACCCGGATCTCGCGATACCCCGCCTCCCCTTCACTCAGCGGGCATGCGTGGAGGTGTGTATGCGGTTGCGCCACACGCTTAACCTGCTCGTTTCTCACTAGTCTTGCCGCGAAACACGCCGCGCTCGCACACGCGCCTCATGCCATGCGACGCGCTTACGCACTCACGCAGTATTATGTACGCGATTGACAACTCCCAGGTGAGCGCGAAATCAATCTGAGCAATAGAAAACATGCACACTAGCACACGTCGCGTTTCCGGCTAGCTGCACCTAGCACCGATCATGGATTCACTTCGCGAGTATCGCGTTCGTCAACGGTTTTACGTACATTATAATGTAACGATGTTCATTCACGAATCGATATAATCCCGGAAGTAGAGCCGGTTCGTTAGCTTCGTATAGATATGCTAATTACTGTAGTCAGAGCTCAAACATTGGAAACACGGATTCAATACTTTTTACATTCGTTAATTCGTCATACGTACGTACGTACACGATAATTATCATAAAAATATAGTAGTAACAATGAAATGTTGGTTGATTTTTATGATTATATCGTCTTAATATCAATGTGCTTCAAATTGATCACCTACTGCTGCAACACTGTGTTGTAATACAGTTTTTGTTTTATTTGTGAAAGCCGTGAGGTGGAATTAATGATGTACATGTCTTCATTTGTCGTCTGTATAAGCGTTACAGGTCCGGCATTGCTCGGATAACATACCGACTTTCACTTTGCCTCCGAAAGAACTATAATATCAATTTACATTCATTCTGTATCTTAATCTGATCACACGTAAACTTCCACGTAAAAGTTTATTCGTTTGTTTATATTTCTGCGAATGGCAGATGCTTTTTTTTCTGTTGAAAAATCTACATTGTTAACAACAGCCCGTGTTTACAATTGGATCATACTATTACGTAGGCACTAGAGGATTCCGTTAGCAAATTAATAATATTATTATTTTATTTCGAGCACTACCTAACATAACAAAATTACATTATTATTACAAAACTCCGTATTCCATTTATATATAACTATAACAATTATCAAATATTTGGTAGATATACCGAAATAAGTAATACAGAAAAATAAAATCGCAAAAAATGAAACTGAAAAAATCTTGCAATCATATCTCACTTTATTTGAATGCTCTTCTCTTGACCGCTGATAAGTTTTGACCCCAAGTCGAGTGTGAGGTGTTGACACGTTATATGCAAGTCTCAATTAGCAGCGTCCCAGCTTATAGCTCGAGTCGAAAAAATGAATATACCTACTTGACATTAAAATTTCAGCTAACGATTTACGACAAATTTGTGTTCAGCGATTACTTTGACCCACATGATGAGGTATGAGGTCTTTGTGGACGTGGAAGCTTTTTTTTTTATTGCCCTTGTGCAATGATTTTTTTTATTGCATAGATGGGTGAACTATTTCGCGGCCCACCTAGTGTTAGGCGGCTATACCGACCCTTAAACGTTACTACGTAAATGCCGCCATCCGCCTCGAATCCTGATGTTTGAGTTATACAAAGTCTGTTCCACCTTCACTCTAGGAAATCTAGGAAATAGGCTGGATAGTGGTATCTCCCCATGCGAGCTTACAAGGCGTCCTACCATCAGTGATTCTGGTCGTTTGATTTTGCTACATGCTGTTCCTTCATCGTGGAAGTTATCTGTGAATATGTTTTAAATACGTATTTCATGACAAAATTTCACCGATTATTATTACGAGTTGTCCGGGCGTCTTATCCTCTAGGCCACGAGCGCTTCAAAAAATGCGTGATTGATTTGGGGCAGTGATAAGAATCTTCACGGATCTAAAACAACCGGTATAATTGTATAATTCGAAAAGATGTATTAAAAAAAAATTCAAAGCGTAGTCTCTACATACTTGTAGTAGGTACTAAGTGTCGAAAGAAATGTTCGAATGTAGTATTTTACTTTATAAATTTCCTTCGTTTGAAATACTAGAGCTGCAGTTGCGGTTGCAGTCCGCCAGTGCCCGTTTTAGGGTTGCCAACTATTTGTCAAAGAAGGGTTAAAAGAAGGGTTTTTTTTTCAAATGTATATTTTACAAACATCCTCGAAAAAGCTTGCTAAGTTTAAAATCAAAATGCAATTAAACGATGGTCTAATTTGATTATAAATTTATACTTGTTTTATTTCTTATTTATCAAAGCATAGTTTGCACTTTAGTTATTTGATAGATGCTTGATTTTGTTCGATTAAGGTTTTTGTCTTCAATAAAGAGGATCCAAGGTGTTACATAAGCGCCAACTATCTTATCCGTTTGAAATGAAATATTTTTGAGTACTATTCGTAATTAACTTGCTTCATTTAGTCGATTGCTTTAATTATGTCGAGTCTTGTGAATCACAATATTCGCAACGTGATCGAGAGGATGTTGACAACAGCATTTACGCGAAGTTTTTTTTTTTTTTTTTTCGAAGTTTAATATTGCGTTCCACATCATGGCGACTCATAGTCTGTCGTAAGCGAAACCGCAGGAGTTACGTTCTTATTGTAAACACCTGGATTACCTATGCGTCAGAGATGTTATTACATTTGACAGGTCGCAAGTGGCTGTTTCTTATGTGACCGATTAACTGTCAAAATATTTATATAATTCCAATTTTGTTCGTAACCCCATTGAATCCACCTACCTATGACGTAATTTATTTTTGTTTGTGACAATTCTTCAAAATTTCAAGTTGTATCTTTTGGATATTACGTGTCACACAATCCTCTAACTTTCTGTAATAAACAAATCAATGACAAATTAAGTCATTCAAGTTTTTTATCGTGTTTATTTTGCAATTATTTCGGTTTATTTTTTGTATAAATAAAATCGACTCACGGCTCACCTAAAGTTCGGCGGCTATCAGAGCTTAAAGGTACTA